TTTAATGCATGAATCATCTTTCATACAAAAGACAAATCTAGATGCTTACAAAGGTTAAAAAATACAGTCAAAGAAATACAGTAAAAAATATAAAGATCTATTCACTTCAATGATATAGCATTCAAAACACATGTCATCTCAACGCACTTTACAGAGACAATTTAATCAGATCACACAGTCGGATTGTTTCACAGTTTTCTATCTACGGAAAAGAAAAACCTTATTGCATTTAGTCACTGACTTTGCAGGATATGCTACTGAAAAATGCAGAGACAGTAGATATCCACTTGCATTGTAATATTGACTCTAAAGTAAATCTCTCATCCCATGCATGCATGCAGCATCAGTGGAGAGTAAAAACTCCCTTTTAACGGGAAGAAACCTGCAGCAGAATAAGGCTCAGTGTGAGCGGCCCCTGATGAGTCCGACTAGGAGTTGAAGGATACATAAGCAGACATGTGAAAGGAACATACAGGCACTGATCTATAAATAGTTTATGTATTAAAAAAGATAATGGTAAACTTACTGTATGGTTGGCTCTGTCTAGGAACAAAACAGTCAAGCTGATGGGGCATAAGCTAGTGTTTATATCAAAGGTATGAGAGAGAGCATATACAGGTAGTCCTTGCAAAAGCTGATTCTATAGGTATGTCTAGAACAGATACAGAACTAAACACTGAAAAAAGACCCAGCTCTATTATCCAAGACTGAAGTAGATTGGAGCAACCCTCCTGCTTGCTGTCTCCCTCCAAAATGGTGTCTCAGCTAAACAGGACCAGGTTAAATGATGCAACTATTACGAAAAAAAGACCATAAAGTTATACATTTAACTAACAAATATTGCAGAACTGACAAATAGAAGTAGAGTGAAGATGAAAGATAAAAAGTGGTCCCTATGTCATCCAGCACCCTAATGCAGATATAAGTAAAAAAAAATACATATAGCTCAGGATAACCTGAGCCACTCTTAAAGTTTTATCAAAAAGGAAAGTTCAATACTTTAATCTTAATTTTTTTTACATTAAGATTGTTTATATTCACAATACTTTCCGCAAACCCCCTTGTAAGTAACTCTCTGTGCTTTCCCTAAGATTATTCATAGCCTGTTTTTTGTAAAAACAGTATTACAGAAAGATTGTGATGCCACCTAAAAAAAAATTAAATAACAAGACTCTCCTTCAGCCTGCTCAGTTTTCATTCAGAAAGTTTAACGATATTAAAAATAAAACCTGAAACGTGTTTTTTTTTTCTTACTTGGAAGAACTTTCTTTTTTACTTTAATACTTTTAAGTATTCCTTAACCAACAGCAGACACTCGTTCCTTTCTTCTCAGAGTCTTTTGTGACAAATGTGAAGCAAGTGTTTGAGGTTCTAATTTGTTGAAGTTCAAAAGAAAACACTGCAATTAACACACTGAGCATGGTGACAAATCAGTTATCCCAGGGTGCTAATCAGTTTTGCAAAGATGTGTTACAGTACATGATTCAACATGTTTCCTGTTCTTTCTGTGTAGGAAGCCTTCAGATTTGGTACCATCTTCAGACAGACAGAAGTCCAGATATCTTCAGCCCAGTCCCCAAGAACCTGGCAGATGGACGTCTTCATCGGATCAGAATCCACAGAGTTGGTAGAAACCTCTATGTACAGGTGAGATATAGGCAAAGATATAAACTTAGAATATCCAGTTCAGCAAATAGTCCATAAAGATTTCTTCTGTTATTGCTATTTTCTCATGTTTACATATTTAGGAACATTAAAGAAACCAGACAAAGATAACCAAAGTAAATACAAAACACGTTTTAAATGAGAATACTCCCAGTATAAAGGAAATGGTCCGTTTATATACCATGTTTGGTTACAAGATAAATCTTAGTTCTTAGATACACAGAACATAAGAAAATATAGGAGTAACATAATGCTGTTGGTTGGTCTACAAGCTTCAATAATGTTTAAGTAAACAGTTTAAATAGAAAATGCATAAGCAAATCTAAACAAAAGAGAGTCTGTTCTCAAGAAGTGTTTCTGGTTCTGGGTATGCAGAGTAGTGGTCTGGTTACATTGGTGTCTACAACTTATCTCTCGATAATATCTGTCAGGGATTCTTTTACATTGCTATTAGGGGTGGAACGGTTCACAAAATCCACGGTTCGGTTCACGGTTTGTTGGTCACGGTTTTCAGTTCGGTATATGTTTATTATTAGGAAAATCTATTATGTCTTGTATAGTATAACACGTGTTGCACAATGCTTGCACACTGTTGCACTTTTATCCACAACTTTCTTTCCGCCGTCATCGTAGGTCACTCTAAATGCAAAGTGGTCCCATACAGCAGACCTATAAAGTGCTGCTGGCGCGTCTTCCAACTCCTGTTCTTTCCCACTCGCCATATCCACACAATTCTCCACAACAACTGATTTTTTCCTGCTACACCCGGCTAAGCTGCTTCGCTTCTTCTTCTTGTTTACTACTGGTGGTTGGCTTTGGTCGCAGAACCGCCACCTTCTGCTCTGGAGTGTACACGCTTTGCCTATGAGAAAAAGGAGCAGCGCATGAACCAAACGCAACACACGTGAATCGAACCGAGACAGTTGAACCGAACGGTTCGGACGGTTTTCATAAACCGTTCCATCCCTAATTGCTATGCATAAATTCTGGCACACTCTTCTAGGGACCATCGTTAGTGAAGCTACAATTCTCTTCTTCTGATCTGTCGGAGAGTTGAGTTGAGCTTAGCTGATCACTACTTCTGATATCTTACATTGTTGTTAAATGACAGAGCTGCTTAAACAAATGTCATCAGTTGTGTTGTCTAGGGTATATACGGGTATACGGCGTATACCCACTTCTAAATCCCAGCACTATTAAGCAGAATCTTCGAGCCAAATTTTCCATTCTTTCCTAGGACGGCGAAGCTATCACTAATTGTGTATTACGCACTGGCTTTACTGATTACATTGTTTAACTGTAGGCATGACAACCAGTGAACCAATCGGTGGCATAGAGGGGCGGTTTATGCTGAGGTTGATATTGCTCACATATTAAATAACAGTTAAAAGTTTACTTTAAATGGTTGCCTTTAGGATAAGCAAAGAATATCAGTAATATGAACTGAGCAAGTCAAACGACACTTTCATTTCCTTATTCAAACATCCTCTTGAAGTAAAATTAGACAACAGTTCAGCTAATGTTAGCGATGCTACCCCGTTATAATAAAGCCTAACATCGATGCCCGCTCTGCCCGCATCCCCGTCGGACAAGATGCTGTCAGTGAAGGGGAAGGTGCCTCTTCAGCCTTAGCCAAAGATTTCGGTACAACTTCGAATGACGACAGCAGCTATGCTAGCTGGACATGGGCCATTGCTATTGTTGGACCTCGTAAATTATGTTAATAACATATCAGTGCTCAAAAGTACTGTGTTAGGAGAATATATCACTTTTGATGTGTTGTAAACGCAGTTTTATGTTAAATATTTTTATGTTACATATTGCTTTATTGAATAATTTGAATGATGAATTCCAATCATATGATATATGTATACATATCTGATGAGTTGCACTAAAATAGTCTTTATTTCAATTTAAGAGTTTATCAACTTTTCAGTTTATAACGATTAGTTTCGATGTGTTTGATTTTTATTGTTAAATCTAAGCAGAAATATGAAAAAGGATGTCAAATTCACTTCTAAAATGTTTTATTTAAATAAATGTTTAAAAAAAATAACTGAAACAACATGTTTGCCTCATCTGTATTTTATATCCATACAGGCTGCCTGTGTGACCAATGATACCAATTATTTAATAGAGGGCCACACAAACTGTTAAACAGGTGTCATCCATGTGGATGGATTCAGGAATAAGGAATAGTTCGCTCAAAATCCATAATTGTTTCTCACTTTGTAACCCTTCCCAGACTAAAAGATGTTATTTACCTTCTTTCTCATCTGTTTAGTTTATAATGTAAACATAAGTAAGTTATTAAGAGGTTTTATAATGTTTGGCTTTTGGGAATCCTTTCAATCATCTTCATAATGTCAGTGATGATGTCTCAGATTTTGTTGAAGTGCTTGTTTCTTTTTTGTTTGCTTGTTTGTTTGTGCTGTATCACAGAGTTTAAGCAATTCCCCAGATATTGTTGAAATAGGACTAAAATGAAGACTATGAAAATGTTAAGGAATAAAAGACTTTTTATATGATGGAGTATTATAAAGGAAAACTCACATGAAACAAAACTTACACCATAGAGAATGAGAAACAAAAAATACTTAATTCTGTTTCAACGTAGGACATTGGTTCAAATGTACATTATTAAACTAACTTCACAGTTAAACACACAAACTGGGCTTTAGGCATTTATGTCTTTTCAGGGATTTTTTATATTGTTGTTTTAGAAAGTAAAACTTTCACTCAAGGCTACTGAAGAAAGTTCCATGTTTGATTTTACTCCTACACCGCAGGCTGCCCACTCGATGAATGGTCCTAGATTGGCTCTACACTCAGAATGCACTGGTTGTCTTAATCTTCCCAGCTGGTGTCGTTCAATGGGTGCGTTGGCTAAATGGCTGCACGTTTCTGGCAGATTATATTTGTATTCCCACTAGAGATTTTACTTCTAATTCTTTCACTATTCTTTGTGCCTTAAACGAAAACTTTCAAAGACTGTAAAAGCCTGATCAAACTAAAAAGAAATTATCACATTTAACATGAAATTAACCGCATTTTTAAAATGATTTTATAAAGAATTTAAAGTATCAGCTGTATTTTCCTTATACCACATTTCTTTATTTGTTTGCAACACTGAATCGCATAACCTTGAACAGGATTATAAAAAAAGATGGAGTCCTTTGCATGGATGATAATTCATTGGTGTTGAATGTCAAATAAGTTTTGCAAAAGCTACAAAGTGGGTGTGGGTCTTTTAGATTCAACGGAGACTGAATATTTTTCCTCTGTGTAAGGAGCAGTACACAGTCTACGGACCCAAATACGCTGCAATATAGGGTAAGTCTAAGTTTTATAGCAGGTTGCAGCAAAGGTGACAAAAGATATGGCTCTGTATTTGGACTTATTTTTAAAAGTGCTCATTTAAGCTTCTGTATTTTATTAAATGGTATTGTAAACAAATGAAAGCATAGCTTGTAGAGAGTATTACCAAGTGGCGAACTTCCATGCCCCTGTCAAGAAAGAAAAGAAGTTTTTGAAAATTAAGAAGAAAAAAAAAATGGGCTAAATATTTTTCTACAAAAAGTGTTGAGGATTGTTGGCCTAACGGTTAGAGAAGTGCGCTTATGCTCTGAAAAGGTTTCTCGATCCAAACAGCCTGAACTCTGGGTTCCTGAGCAAGACCCTTAAACCCACACTGTTCCCCAGGCGCCGCACAGTCGCAGCCCACTGCTCCCCAAGGGGATGGGTTAAATGCAGAGAGTGAATTTCCCCATTGTGGTACAATAAAGAGATTCACATTTTTACAAATATTTTTTCTAAAAAGTGCTGATCTAAAAAAAATACATCAATATGTTTTACAAATACATTTGGCCATTTACATTGAATAGTGGCTATTCATTTTTTCATCCATTTGTTGGTGCCTATCTTCATTAGCGAAAAGCGTGGTACACCAGGTCAGTAGTCTGTCACATAATTGACTAAATAAACAACAACAAAAAATGGTTTCTTACTAATTACCTAACTATTGTATATGATATAACAAAACAGAAAGCAATTAGGTCACTGAATAAAACAACATGACAGTATAATTTCCAATGTACAGAGATGAAAAAACTACCATGTAAAACAGACTCTGACATGCTGTCACACGATTTGCCACTTTGTTATAATAGGGTGGTAATAAATTGGACGCCAACTGTGTTACAGCTCTGTTTTGTAATCGAGTATTAAGTGCTTTGCGAACAGAGACCCTCATTACTCACAAAGGAATGCTAAAAACTTGTCTTAATTTAAAACTATAACCCACAACAACCTAACCTGCTTATTACCAGCATGTTTTTCATTTTTCATGTTAAAAACAATATTGATAATGCACTACACTTTTCTATCATTACACTTTCTCGCCTTCAAAACACACCAGAGAAGTTGACGTTGCTTCGCCATGTAGTACCACTAAAAAGGCACTATTTAGGTGAAAAATCTAAGGAGTTCATAAAGTGCTTATGTTTATAAACAACGCCACATAAAGTGAATTCTCTATCCTTGTTGCCATTAGGTCGTGTGAATAATCCTAGACTGGACTACTTAATGGTGCCAGCACTACAAAAAATAAAATTAAAAAAAATTAAGCAGAGGTTAAACTAAGATACGTATGTAAATTGTAAACACAGTCACGTGAATTGTAAAGACTGTCAGTCCAGAAAAGTTCAAAGCATCACTTGCACAGTTTCATAGCACTTTGCCGCATTTCTCTAGGACCCACAATAAAATTCTCCATATAACAGAAGTAAAAGTTAAAGGCAGGTAAACGAATTAGAGTAGTGCCATAGACAAAAGTGCAAGGAATATCTAGGAGTACCGGCAAAAACCTCCTACCAGCCTTGACAGGGTAAGAGGTCATAGTTCCTCACTGGAAGCTCTTGAGGGAGAATTTCTTGTTAGTTTCCTTCTCTAGCTTACATCACTTCAGCTTGGCCTGAATAAAAAGAGGACCATTACAAAGGTCTAAATAATGTTAAGTTCACCAGTTATACAATACACCATGTGTATTATATAAATTCAAAAATCACATTTGCTGGTAAGTCATGCAGATTACTACCAAAAATACAAATAAAGAGGATTGGTAAATTAATTAACATCTATTATCATTTAGGTGTAATACAATCATATTAAAAGATCATCGTTCCAAAAAGAAAGCAGCTTAGTACATATAGTGTAGTTCGTAAGTGTAAATACATCTAATAACATAGACTAAAAGACAATGCTTTTTAATATTAAATGAAATTAAAATACTGTCATTGCATTAAATATTTATCCACACTGTTTTAGTATTAGAAACATAGTATACCATAGAAAAATGGCAAAGATATAGTAAATGCTACCTGGCCCATTCAACTGGATAAAAAATTATAAGCTAAATGCTAAATCACTTCCCAACCTCACCTATTTTTTTTCCCATGCACATGGAATAAAACTAACCCTGGTTAGTTAATTAACTGGTTAAACAACATCAGCATATGACCCAGAACTTTATTCTCACAACCAAATACACTCCAAAATCTGACGCCTGGGTTAAACATATGATTTTTGGTAATTTAAATGAACAACAAGCCAAGAAAAGAGACAACAGAAGAGCTTGTTCTGTTTGAATTACTTCCTATTAATGAGTCTTTAAAGGGAAGGCAGAACCCAATCATAGACTACAGTATGCTTTTATTTCAAGAAGGACCAAAATAATACAATTATCTTGTCAGTTTAATTGTTAAGATTTTTAGAATAAAATAATCATCGCAAGATGGTGTTTTTTTCATTGTCGTACCAACATGGCCCGATAGGCCTCTATGGTTCTCTAGAGAACAATGGACATTAAACAGGTTAAATGTAGCTATAACTTGGCCTATGTCAGGGTGAAGTTTTTAAATCTGAAGTTGGGCACTTTAAACTTCAGTAAACATATCTTCTCTATGCAATTTGCAAACCTAATATTAGCCTCGCTGCTGCATAACGGAAACAGAAATCAGCTGAAGGGGACTAAACAGACTCATTAGCTTTCATGAACCCACACTGTCCGGTCCTTACATGTGGCATAAAAGAATCTCTTAGGAGAGACATTACAGATGAGTACAGCTGGGATTTGAACCCACCCCAGGGCACCCCAACAACTTCTCTTTCCAACTGTCAAAAGCTCGGGAAAATGACAGCAACAATACAAGTCAGATTTTAACTCTACATATCAGAGATCCTAATACTTGTGGCCTAACTTCACTAATTCCTATAGAAGCATGGAGACAGTTAAACATCTAATGAAGTGAAGACTCCAGAAGTACTTGAAATACTGGGAAAAAACAGTATTGCCTGAATATGTTGCCATCTGGGTGATGGAGCCACAGATCAGCTATATGACACTGCTGCTACATCTGATCAACAGATTCCTCCAGTCATGGCTAACCCAGACACTGCAGATACATTTATCCTAAATTATTCATTCATCAGTTTATCATTGCTGTTGAAGGAATTTTCTTTATTGCAATTATCAGGATTGTTTTACCACCCAACCCCAAGACAAGTACTCTGCAGCTGGATGACAAGATAAGGCACTGAAGGTCAGCTAAAGGTTTCTTGCAGGTGTCATGTTGCTTTGTAACCACATTTTCCTGTGACCTTTACTAAGTGGCTTTTGTGGCCTTATTCCCAGATGTTGTAAGAATACCAAATGTAGAAACAATGCTTTGCAGTTCCCTATTGCATTTTTCTTTGCTGATGGGACTTCATGAAAAAAGAGACACAAATATTTTTAACCAGTCAAAACAAAAAAAGTAGGGGATCCAACATGGAACTTTTTAAAGTCTTTAATACTTTTCCACATACTACATATAGTTTAAAATATCTTAGAGGTCTCTAGAACTTTAAATTACTTCTGTATCTCTAAATGTTTTTTGTTGTAGGGTTGTAGGGGAGTTTAAAGAATAGTTGGTATTGTGCTCTCCCGCTTCTTCCGGGACCGGGTCATGAGTCTCAGTGGAGACTCCCAGACTTCCCTTTCCACAGACTCCTCATCTGCTTGGGGAAGCCAGAGGCGCACCCAGGCCTGAGAGACATAGACCCTCCAGCTTGTCCTGGGTCGTCCCTTGGGCCTCCTCCTGGTGGGGAATGCCTGGAACACCTGAGGGAGGTGTCCAGGGAGCATCCAAAAAAGGTGTTCCAGCCACCTCAGCTGACTCCTTTCGATGTGAAGGAGAAGCAGCTCTACTCTAAATACCTCCTGAATGACCCAACACCTCCTTAGCTCCTCCTCCCTCCTATCACTGTGAAGAAAGCTTGTTTTTCATGTATTTTATGACCATAGGCGAGGGTAAATCAAAATATATGCCTTTTTGCACAGCCTTGATGAAACAGTTAGAGATGTATACATGATTTTATGCTTTAGCATGTCATGGAGCTGTCATCTGAAATCAAAAGTGCAGCAAAACTATAAATATACCAAGACACCGACATCTAAGTTTAGCTTTAGAATAGAAGTTTTTTTTATTGTCTCATATCAGATAACTTAAAGTATATTAGCAGCAAGCAAGAAAAAGGTTTACAACAGAGGAAGCAATGCTGTACGGATATTAAAAACTGGCATGCTCAGATAAATCAAATGTGCAGTTAAGCAGGGTGAAACTGCTCAAAATGAGCATGAATAAATATAAACAAGAAACAAACCATTCCTTAGAACTGGAAAACTGTGCAATAAAGAGCATGGATTTAATGATAAAGGTAATAAAGCCTTTGGGAGAGCGGTGGGAGAAAGGGCATCTTAGCAGCTAGCTCAGCAGCTGATGGACCATGCATGGAGAGGGAGACATTTTCCAAATGTGATGTTATTTTCAACAGTGTGTTTGTCTCCCACATCATAGCTGGGCTTCCTGATGGCCTTCCTATATATACACTTTTGCATCTACAAAATAAACCCTATAAGATGGCTGATGCCACCACAGAGTCAAAAAAGGACTTGAGGAGCACACCATGATCTCAGTCACCTCAGCAGGGAAAGACTGATCTGACCCTCACTGTAAAGAACATCAGTGTTTTTCCTCCATTTCAGTTTTTTATGATGAACTTCTTCAGCTTTCTCTGCACCAAGTTCTATGCACACTTTTTGTTCAAGAATTATTTTCACCTAGAATAAGGTCTGCTATCATATATTAATCCAATAACTTATAAAGGTGGGGGCCAGGAGAGGCGGTTTATGTAGATGATAAAGAGAAAAGGTGCCAATCTTGTTCTCTGCTAGACTGGTATAGGAGACCAGTTGCTTCGAGACGCAGCCCATATCTTCACGTCATCTGGACTGACAGTGAGATAGTCAGGTATCCACTGAGGCAGACCATGGTCCATCAAGGCTGGATGATATTAGAACAATGGAAAAATCTTCAGTCTTTAGCTTGTGGCTAAGATGCTGCTTATCCTTGAACAAAAGTAACCATCTTCTGAGTGTAGGTGCTGGTTGCCCCTCCAGGACCTAGAAGTATGTATTAGAAATGCTAGGGTGTATATGACATCCTTTCTTGTATATCTTTTTATTAATTATGGTGCTTTGTCAAACAAAGGTTGGAAACATGTGATTGTGATAGTTTGCCTGTTTATCTGTCAGGTTGGGTTTTGGGCTGCCCCCTTTCCTGGATAATCTCAGGCTCCTCACCAAATGTGGAACCTTTTCACCACCACCTTCCCTATTGCTGGTTGGTGATTCTGCCCACCAGTGTGTTGATGGTTTTTTGGAGGTGTGTTTGCTCACTCCAGGCCTAGGGTCCCTGTGCTTCTCACTGGAGCAGCACAACCATGGTTTCCGTTTACTGTTGCTGTTTTCTCGCTTTTTTCTCTCTTTTTGCAGGTGTAGGAGTAAACTTCTTTGATTTTATTTTGTATTTTCTTTACCCTGTCCATTATTTCTTTTCATTCTCTCACTTTTAACTTTTTAACCCCATCACTGTCTGTTTTTCTTCCTACTCTCTTTCCTTTTTGTAGCTATGTCAGTGTCCAACGGATTTCAGATAATCCCAAAGCAAATCCTGTTACAATATTTAATGAATATATCATTGGCGCGTTATAGTGGACGCTGTAATGCTCCAATTCTGAACGTAAATCTTTGCTTCTTCTTGGTACCCAGACAATTCTGAGTGTTATCCTTAAATATGAATATTTAAAGCTATTTGATAATGTTTACAATATTTAATTTCTGTGCAACTCTAATATTAGAAACATTAGAAATTGGAAGGGACTTAGCATACAGTCCTCCAAATACGGTGCCCTTTCAGCTGCAGAGAAAATGTTTTAAAAAAAACTGATTTCTTTGTAGAAAAACCCTGATGTGTTGACAGCAGTGGACAAAAAAAAATCCTGCAGTGTTTCATTCCACATCATTGTGTTAAGTACTGCATCTGAGTCAGCATGGCAGAGCACAGAAGAGAGGTCAAAATCACTTCGGCACTCAGCCGTGGGCAGAGAAGGTTTTATGTGAAGCTGCAGAGAACACAAATATCAATCTATAAAATATTATAGTGAGCTGCTGATGTTGCAGCCGTTAGCTCGGTTTACATTTCGTGTAATTGCCTTGTTATTTGATTTCTCTCCACTCAACCAGATCGACCAGGACATCCACAGAAAGTACACACTGTCATCTGATGCAGAGCTGATCTTAATCAGATCCTTGACGCTGGGCAAAGTCATCAGTAAGTCCTCCAATCTAAGGAAAAGTGCTGAGAAACTTGCTGCACTACTTGTATTGAAGCCATTCATCTTTGCCTGTCACCATTCCTTTGTCATTCCTGACAGTGTTTAATCAGAAATTAATGTGATTCTGAGAAATTAATCATTCAGCGGCTTGTCTTTTCCTCTCTGAACCACGTCTCCACAGGAATGGAGAGCTTTGATGAAGAGGTGGTTAAAGCGGCTTCCAGAGGTTTTGTCGGCTGTCTCTCCTCAGTGCAGTTTAACCATGTCGCTCCGCTCAAGGCAGCACTGACCAATCGGGGGAGCTCCCTTATCACTATTCGAGGTCCTCTTGTCCAGTCAAATTGCGGAGCTTTGGCTGAGTCCACCTCACACATTCTGCAAGGTAAAACACACACAGATACCAACCATTTAATACTGCATAAATACCATTTCCGAGAGTAATAAGTTCAAATTAAGAAGTCAAATGATTGAGGTGGAGCATAGTAAACAGAACCAATCATGCATACAACATAAACAGCAAAAAATAAACAGAATTAGATTTTTTCAATATGAAGCAAACCTTCAATGATGGCAGTAAGTCAGTAAAGCTGTGGAATATGATGCCCTCCAGGCTGCACACGAGCTGTTTTTCTTTTTTTTTTTTCTCTGCTGCACATTTATCTTGTCATTAATTAACGACACAATAAAGCTATATGGCTCTGACGGATTGTCCTTGTTTTAAGGTGAAACTCTTCTCCTGTTAATAAGCTTTTGTTTCCTCTTTTCAAGAGATTAAGTCTTCTACTGCTGCACATATTTGCTTTCATTTCTTCTGGAGGTCTCATGTGTCGATGATAGCAAAAGAAAAGAACCAATAAGGTTTTCTATATTAGGTCTATGCTACTGTGACAGTTCAGCAAATAACACTGAATTCATAGCAAATCAAAAAAGGCAGGAATATAGGAATATAGTGGGTGGATTCCTCGGTTTTTAATTAAATTCTGAAATGTTTGTTAATTTAGAAGAAATTACATGGCAGTCTTTAAGGAAACATAAGTATTCAATTTCTACAATTCAAAGACTAACAAAGAACTTGTTTTACATTTTCTTTCTTAACATGTCTATTTACAACCTCACAGTGCATACAGATTCTTTTTATATACAAATATGTAAAGAATATATCCAGAACTATCTGACACACATATGCAATAATTAAACATCAGATGGGAGTATGGAGTACCTGCCCCTTTAATAAGGGCTGTTACTGTATAGTAGCAGCCATTCAAAATAGCCCTGGTCAAACGCCAGCCGAATGGAAGCCCACTTCCCTCCAACTCCCAGCGAAATCCCCTTCAACTTTCAGCCACTGGATTGAGCCCCTCTTGCATATTTTGTACTCTGGCTTCACACTTTCACTGAATTACAGGGTCTAACCAGGAGATGATGCTTCTCTTTAGATCTTAATGTCCACAAATGATGACAGAAAGAATATTTTAGCACAAATAATGATGTTTGAAAAGGAATTGAAGGGGATCAGCCAAGGACCCATCAAGGACTCCGCCAAGGTTGCCCTTTGTTACAGATTCTGTTCATAACTTTTATGGAGAGAATTTCTAGGTGCAGCCAAGGTGTTGAGGGGATCCTTTATGGTGGCCTTTGAGTTGCATCTCTGTTATTCACAGATGCCGTGATTCTATTGGCTTCATCAGGGATTGATCTACAGCTCTCACTAGAGTGGTTTGCATGCGAGTGTGAAGAAGTTGGGATGAGGATCAGTGGCTCCAAATGAGAGACCATGGTCTTAAGCCGGAAAAGGGTAGAGTGCCTTGCCCAGGTTGGGGAGGATGTACTGCCTCTAGTGGAGAAGTTTAAGTATCTTGGGGTTTTGTTCACGAATGCGGGGAAGTCGGAACGGGAGCTTGACAGGTATATTGGTGCAGCATCTGCTGGGAAGACACTGCACCGGTCCGTTGTGGTGAAGAGAGAGCTGAGCCAAAAGGTAAAGCTCTTGATTCACCGGTCGATCTACGTTCCTACTTTCATCTATGGTCTTGAGCTTTGCATCATGACCGAAAGAACAAGATCCCCGCTACAAGTGGCTGAAATTAGTTTTCTCCATAATGTGTCTGGGCTCTACCTTAGTGATAGGGTGAGGAGCCCAGTCATCTGGGGAGGACTCAGAGTAGAACAGCTTCTCCTCCATGTCGAGAGGAGCCAGTTGAGGTGGCTTGGGCATCTGGTTAGGATCCCTTCTGGATGCCTCACTGGTTTGGTGTTCCTGGCACATCCCAACAGGAGGAGACCCAAAGAGAGAGCCAGGACATGCTGGACGGACTATGTTTCTCGGCTGCCTTAGAACGCCTTGGGATTCCCCCCGGAGGAGTTGGCCCAAGTGGTTGGGGGGTCTTGCTAACCTTAGAATGGGCCTGGTATGTTAACATCCTGAAGAAGAATTGCTAAATTGCTTGTACCAAAAAAAAATTATGTTTTTAATTCTATGATATATAATACGTTTTACCAATGATTAAAAAAAGAAAATAATTTTTTCCACTCCTCACTGATGAATTGCAGCTTCCTGGGCGCTGAGGTTTATGGAAGAAAAACATTGGAATCTGCCTTTTTTATAACAACGAATTTTAAACACTGAATTTTTTTAGACATTGAATTCCTTACACTACGCTGCAAAAAAATTCAGCTGCAAAAAATTCACCAGCAAAAATTCAGCTGCAAAAATTCAGTAGCTAACTGACGTTTTGTAATTCTATCTGTAAGAAAAAAAACGTCCTCATTCAGCTGTAGAACAGCGCCGTTGTGTCATGTGACGAAATGAGCTAATTTAGATTGCTTTGGCTTGAGTTTACCAAAAGGTCAAAACTTGCGGCTGAATTTTTGCAGCTGAATTTTTTTAACACCGAATTTTTTGCAGCTGAATTTTTACAAGATAAAAATTGAGTGTAAGGAATTCAATGTCTAAAAATATTCAGTGTTTAAATTTCAGTGTTAAAAAAATTCAGTGTTTAAAATTCGCTGTTAAAAAAAATTCAGTGTTTAAAATTCCGTGTTAAAAAAAAGGCAGATTCCAATGAGACTGTTTTTCTTCCATAGAGGTTTGTTACGTAAATTACTTTTTCTGTTTTCATTTGACAGGGTTGTTGAAAGATAGTTTGCTTTGCATTTTTTTTTACTTTTATTTGATAATAAATTTACATTGTATGCAAAAGGAAAGTGTTCAGAGGAGCCTCTTGTTCCCCTGACCTATAAAATGACTCGTCTGGAATTTGAGAGCCTCTAGACCATGAGTCACCAACCTGTCACTAGTGAGCTACCAGTAGTGCTTCAGGCTCTTTTTACAGCTCTCCAAAGGTCATTGATATAAGAACACAAATTTTATATTCCATACTTGCTAAAAAACTTTCTAAGTTTTAGCCAACAGAAGCATTCTGTCTCCAGGTGTTCTGCCTTCTAATAACTTATTGATAGTTACCTTTTCACAACTCAGTTTAATTCAGTTTGATAGAATAAGTGTTATTGTTACTTATAGGTTTTTTAAAGGAGATGTTGTAGATGTTAACAGAGTTAAGCAGGAAGGATTTTCTATCTTTGCTATTGTTATTTCTCATTTGTGCTGTCGGCTGTCTATCATTGAAAGGACGTGAGAGGGATCAGGGGAAAGAGGCAATATTAAGTGCAGATTAGAGAGAAAGATTCACAAGAGCATAACTCATTCAAGTAAAAAATAGAGGGATTTTTTTTCTCAGAAATGGGAACAAGTGTTTGTCTAAGCAATGGGGTGAGACTAATGTTTCTAGAAGAATTTGGGTGGCATTTTTGCAAATGTTATGGAAACTTTCCATGGTATCTTCTGAGGGGAAACCCCTTTGTGTAGTGATAGTAAAAGAAGTACACAGGGTGCTATGGAAACACCAGTCTTTACCAATAAAACCTACAAAGAAGGCCAGTGCATCGACTCAGGCATTATGTAAAATGGCAAACATTTTGACTGAGGGTAGAATGCTGTTCAAAGTTTAAAGGGCCAATAATTGCTGTGGTGGAAACCGTTGTAATGGGATAATTTGAATGAAGAAAATATATAAATATATATATTTTTGCATGTGTTTTTTGTTTTGCCAATATAGCTTTGGGAAAAGATTTCCCAGAGCTAGATGATAGCCCCACAGATTTGCTTAGAAAAGCAAACCTTTATGACTGTTGCCTTAAGGTTCCGCTTGGTATATGAAACTTTATTGAAAACTATTTAGGGAGCAAAATGGTATACGACAGACACGGAAAGGGAGGTGAAAACGAAAGAGGGGATAAGAAGTAATGGGTAAGATAAAAACAGAGAGAGGAAAGAGGGAATGGAAAGAGAGAAAATAAAACAAACAGCAAAAATAGACAACACAGAAGATATACGATAACTCGTAGAAGTGTGCTTCCATACCTGTATGAGAGGAGAGGGAAAGAAAACAGAGAGCACAACTACAGGAAAAAGTAGACAACAGACAACAAAAGTAAACATCAAAAAGAGCTTCAAGAGTAGCTGGTATCCCTTACATGTCCAGCTGTGTGGAAGGCAATGCTTATAGTGACTACACAATATTATTCACGGGGGTACATATCTGTAGCTGCCGCTTAGTATTTAGTATTATCCATGAGCACCTGGCACCAATCTCCAGTGCTATGAATGCATGGGAGTGGGTGGCCCCTGACTCACTCTTCGGGGGCCTGGATCGAGAAAGAGGCAACGCCGGCCCCTGTCTATTTCTTCATTTAGGCCAAAGTTAAAATTGCCCCTGATAATAAATGAAGTATCTGCATGTTCCAACAGAGCTGTGAAGAAAGAGCCAAAGAATGAATAGTTATCAAATTTTTTGAGATAAATGCTAACAATACAAAAGTTTTGGTTATCTATAAATATCTTTATTGTTATAAATCTACCCTAGGTATGTAAATAATACTAATACTGAGAAATTTATATTTTTGTGAACTGAGATACTCGCTTTTCTTTGCATAATGGTTTTGCAGGCAGAGATCACATGAGGGAATCCAGGTGATTAATAATTGTTTGCAGTTGCAGCTGATTTATGAGTCTCTTATAATAAGACAAAATCTGCCTGTAATCGAAAAAGCTGGTTAAAAATCTTTAAACCTTTTCTCTGTGGTGCCGGCTCCATGCCCATTCCAGTACTGGTATAAATGGTCTAATTTTTTGTTTTAATACTGCCATAGAGATTTCTCCCGAACCGTCCCTGAATGTGAAGTTTATCCACAGCCGCAGTGACCCGGATACCTTCCGATATGTATTTTTTTTCTGATGAGGAATAGAACTCTTCTTCGGTCAAGAATTTCTTAAGGAAATAGAGCATTAATGCTGAAGTGCGTTCTCTGCAGCTCTTTGCCTTGACTTTTTATGTAATCTTTTTGTTTACAGTATAATGCAAAAATTTAGGAATTACAGTATAACTTTAGGTCGGTTATCAGGTCTCTTAACTCTAAGCCAGTGAACGCGATGGAGTGAGATTTTTTTTACCTATTCCCTGAAGAGTTTCCGCTAACATTGGAGGAAATCTCATATGGTAGATTTGGCACCTTCTCCTCTTTCCGGGATGCCCGTGAATACCAAACTATGTCTCATAATACGGTCCTGCAGATCCTTTTCCTGTTCTCCTTGGACAGCTGTAACATTCCACCTGTGAGTTTTTTCACGTTCTCCTTAAGTGCCATATTTTCTGCAGTAAGTGAAACTAGCTGAGCTTGACTGAATTCAAGGGATTCCCTCATAGCCTGGAATTCTTTATGGAGAATTTAAAATAGGGCAAGGCCAGAATGTCTGCGTAGTTTTCTTCTGAAGAGCTAGTGGAGCTGCTGCTAGCATTGTTGGCCTGGGATTTTTGTGTTTTGCCCATCATAATGTTGTCAACATCAACATAACTGTGCAGGCTCTCCAGTTTAAGTAGAAGAGCTGAATGCTAATTGATTTAACAATCCTTATAAGGGCTTAAATATATGTTTTAAACCTCTAAAGAGCTTTCCTTTATGACTTGATTGAAAAAAAGAGTTTTCTCCACTGCTTTTTTTTAGTCTATTCATTGTTTTGTTTTTTATGTTTTTTTTAAGTGGCCCGTTGTGTCTTTTATATAATGTTATAGAAACAAATAAAAAATTTTAAAAAGTGTGAAATACTATTGGCAAGTTTATTATTATTATGTTTTAACAACAGCATCCAATAGAGATTTTTAAATAAAAGTAAAAGAAAACAAACAAAAAAACAAAAAAAACGCAATATATGATAAAAATTAGCTTGTACAGGAAATAGCTCTCCCATCATTTCTGGAATGCAAAGGGTATGTTAGGGTTAGCCCCTTTCTGTTTGCTGCAGCGAGGTCCTTCTCAGACAAGGACCCAAAGCCCATAGATCTCAAAGGAGTTCATCACAACCACTCTCTAGGTGTCCTGGAGTGGCCAAAATTACAGACAGTATACTGATGATAATCTGATTGAACAGCTCCAGAAAAATCTGAAAATGGCTGCAATAACTTCTCCCAACCAGCCAGATTAAGGTTGAAGTGTTCTGCAAAGGAGAATGTGCAAGACTGCTAAAAGATAGATGAGCCAAGCTCGAGGCATCATATTCAAAAAGACTTAAGTCTGGAAACACTGTCAAAGCTGAATCAGTAAAACATTAAGCAAAGTCTGTGAATACTTATGTATATATATATATATGTCATATATTTTTAGGTTTGCATTTTTGAATACATTTATAACAATCTCAACAGACTTTACCAATTTATCACATGGTCAAAAGTAGGCATTGTGTATAGAACTTGGAGGGAATGGATTAAATCATTACCATTTAGAATAATGCGACATAAAAATGTGAAAAACGTAAAGTTCTGTGAATTCTTTCCAGGTGCTCTGTACAAATAATATATTATTTGTTTTCCTAGATGAAGGAAATAATATATATTTATTTCTCATATAACGATGTTGCAAGGTCATAATACCATAATTATAATAATAATGATTTAATGGGTTTAGCCTCTCCCACCTGCTTTAGAACAATGTGTTGAAATACTTTTCTATGTACATTTATCTAGAAAGTCTGTACTTTATAAGAGCTTATTTGAGAAAGTAAACAGATTGTAATGCTCCTTTAAGTATACATGTGTGTGTTTACACTAGAGAGCCTTTTTATATCTAAAGGTGTCTGGAGAGTTTATATTCTTATATGCTGTGATGGACCTTATGTCAAGGAAAATGTTTCATAAACTTTCATAAAAGGCTTTACTAGCAGAAATATATTGTGCTGGCTTTAAATTAATTTTAGACTTGTTTTACCAGGAATTAAGACAGAAAAAGAAACTCTCCGTTAAGATTCAGTGTCGTTTCTTTACGACAATAATTAATGAATCTGTTTCTGATTTATGCTTCTTCAGATCAAGCTGCAAATGAAGATAAGGAGCAGCGTGACAGCAACGCCCAGAAGGATTTGGCTGTAATAGCAGGTCTGTTTTCCCTCCTTTTTGCAGTTTTTTTTTCTTTTTCTGGTTAATTGAAAATGAGCCACAGCTGTTTGTTTATTATTCTCATTTTCCCATAGTCTTAATGTTTCCTGTTGCGTCTCCTGATAACTGAGTTTAAGCTCATTTTCAGACTGGCTGCTTGCAGTGTCTTATTCCATGTTGTAATGTAAGTAAAGTATTCTGTTTAATCGGGAAATAAAGACTTCTTCTCATATTCTGGTAAAGAAACCGATCAGGAAAACATGTTAGATCTAAATCTGACCACAGCCACCCTGCGCTAATAAAAAAAAGCTTGTTGACACATGATATAACTGAAGTCTTTAAAACAGACTCTAGTTGAACTTTATCTTTGCATCTGACATCCCTAGAGGCTTATTGTTTGGTTTAGATAAAAGCCACAGTTTGTCATCTGTCATAAGTTCGACATGGAGATGGGATTCACTTTGATAGAGCAACCACTGAGGCTGAACAAAAACACAGGCAGCAGGAAAATAATGTCATTCCTTCCTGCTTCTTTAAAACCCTGCTAATTATCACATCACACAGCATTTACAATCAGTTGTGGAACGTTATTCCTCAGATCTAATTTTATTGTTGAGCACATCCACCAGTTAGTTAATGCAAATTGATGTAGCATGAAGGCCAAATGTAAACGTAAATGTTAGGCATTGCCAGAAAAATGTAATGACAAAAGCAGTTTAGAAACTATAAATTATGGTTCAATTTCCGTTTAATTTAGTTTAACTGCATATAGGGCATGAGCACCACTATATAGCCAAAAGTATTTGCTCACCCATCCAAATTATTGGAATCAGGTGTTCCAATCGCTTCCATGGCCACAGGTGTATAAAATCAAGCAACTAGGCATGCAGACTGTTGTTACAAACATTTGTGGCAGAATGGGTCGCTCTATCGTGGAACTGTCATAGAATGCCACCTGTGCATCACATCCAGTCGTGAAATGTCCTCGCTCCTAAACATTCCACAGTAAACTGTTAGCTCTATCAAAAGACAATGGAAGCGTTTGGTAATGACAACAACTCACCCAGGAAGCGGTTGGCCACATAAACTGAAAGATTTGTGTCAGTAAGTACTGAAAGACGAAGTGCAAAGAGGTCGCCAACTTTCTGCAGTTATTTACTACAAACCTCCGAACCTTCAGATTAGCTCAACAGTGTGCAGAAAGCATGGAATGGGTTTCCATGGTTTCTAAGCCATACATCAATAAGTACAATGCAAAGTATCAGATGCAGTGGTGTGAAGCACACTGCCACTGGACTCCAGAGCAGAAGAGAAATGTTCTCAGGAGTGTCAAATTTAGTTTCTCCATCTGGAAATCTGTTGGATGAGTCTGAGTTTGGCAGTTGCCAGGAGAACATTACTTATCTGCCTGCATAGAGCCAGGTGTAAAGTTTGGTTAAGGGGGGATTACATTCAAAGATTTACCAAACCAAAATAACACCAAACCCAAATACTGCGTTTGCACCATATATATTTGTCTTAAAATGCTCTGAACTTCCATATCAATGCATTTTGCAGCATGTTTTTTTTCTCCCACAGTGTTTACATTTGATCACTGCTGCACTTTATGAAATGGATTTGTTCACTTGACTGCTAAGATGCTGCTCATTTACTGCCTGAAAGCTTTACAAAAAGAATGTGGTTTTGTATACACTCTGTGTATACAAAATGAAAATCAAAGTTGTCTAAGTCTAATTTAAAAGTGTCTTTATTCATCATCCAGCCTGGAGAAGCACTTCTGAAGGCTCAAATTTATGTTGTAGTACAGCCCATCAAAGAAAAGACAAAACAAAGACATTATACATGGAGGGGAGGTATCCAAGGTCTTGCAGCCATCAAACGCACTGCCCTTGCAGTTAAGGGGGAAAAAAAGACAAAAGAATAAGAATGGGTGAGCAAAGACAGAAAATCATATTTTACACGTTATCTTTAGCAGGATACAAACGGAGATTGCAAAAAAAAACTCAGCACAAAGAAGCAACACAGATACAACACATTTCGCAGGGGGAATGGTGGAGATTGTTGTGATGCATACATGTGTTTATATCCCAGTATGCTTGTTTTTGTGCTTTGAGTGAGTGAAAAGTAAGACCATGAAGCACTGTTCCAAGGGCCATTGTCTTTGAATTATAAAGTACAGACTTTCTACATAAATGTACATAGAGAAGTATTTCAACACATTGTTCTAAAGCAGGTGGAGGAGGCTAAAACCATTGAATCATTATTAATATAATTATGGTATTATGACCTTGCAACATCGTTATATGAGAAATAAATATATATTATTTCCTTCATCTAGGAAAACAAATAATATCTTATATTATTTGTACAGAGCATCTGGAAAGAATTCACTGTACGATTTAATGTTCATCAACCAGCTGCACATGGAGCAAGTTCATAGATGCATTTAGGGAAGGGAGGGAGAGGGGCGTCATATTTACGCAGCATCCAGGGGAGCTGAGTAGATATGACGAAGGCCATACACTGGGAGCCAGATTTCAAATAGAAACAACTTGTTTGTATTAGGCTAACTCCTGATTTTTCTACCAGCCTGAGAGTTTTTTGCTGGTGTCTCACAATGGCGATTACAAGTAAGACAAATACTTGGACATTCCACCAGATCTGAGCTCACAACATTCTTCTGGATTGTACCATTTTAACTCTGAGTCCGGTAACCGCAGTCAGCCTGTGATCCTGTGGAAGGATCACATGCAGTTTAGGATTCTGTTCCCTTAACATCTGAGTCTGAGTTCTGATAGCTCTGCAGATTCCCTCATACATGCCAGGCAGCTTCACAATGGCCAGAACAGCCACCAACATCTTCAGAATTTTACCAGGCACCCGCCAACTCTATACAGCTGAAATACTCATAAAAAAACACATTTATTTAGTTAGTTATTTACACATTTTCTACGTCCTCTACTGAAATCATGGTCAGGGGTATATCTCCTCTTTCTGCCAGGAATCCATTATGTATCTGGAGAAATACATCCCGTCTGAACAGGAGGGTTCCGCCTTATTGTGTAAAAAAAGAAAATGGATCAATTGCATTGAGAGACCAGCTGACCATATCTATAATTCACACTTTTGAATTTTTTCAAAAAAGAGGCACCAAAAGAAGACAGGACACAGCTGAGGCAGGGCACACAGACTAGAAAGCCGGAGACAGTGAAAAAAGCGTCCTCTTCCATCAAGAGCACTTTAGAAAAGATTAATCCCAGTGCAAAATGTACATTTGTTACATTTGTTACATTACTCCATATGTAATAGAGTGACTATAGGACCATTTCCTATAGTCACAATTCACACCACATATATATAATTAGGGGGTCCCCGCTCCATCTGGACATCAGTTTGGGGGTCCTTGGCCTGGAAAACATTGACGACCCCTGGCTTACGGTGCTATCATGTCATCTTTAATGAAAATAATGATTATATGTTGCACAGTGTGAGTCAAAATCTAATTAAAGTTTTTTTTTATTGATGTAAAAAATAAAGACTATTTTTTTAACTAGAGGAAGATTGCCCTTGACTGTTGCTTGTCAGTATTATCTCCAAGTGATTTACATTTGAACAGCCTTCGACTCAGACGAGCATGAATATGGTTGTCTATGTGGATCAAACGTGTAGATAAAGGAAACGAAGAAGGGCCTCAGCCAAGGTAGTATTCATTCATGACCTGCCAATGAAATCTGTTGTGAAGTTTCCACCTCATAAATTCTGGATCTGAGCTGCAAATGTCTAGCTTCATGCGTGGCCAGAGATGGCATCCATAGTGATACTTTGTTTGGATTTACAACAGATCTGCTCGAATAAATTTGGAACAGGTGGTTTTTCATTATAAATGAGTATCACACCATCATGGATGCAGTTGTCATAGCAAAGCGGCGCCAAGAATCACGCAGGCAATGTGACAAGATGTGTATGCAACACAAAAGCATGGCATTAATTGCAAACTTGTAAGTTGTGTTGAGGGTGCTGCTAAATGTTTTTATAAATTTTAGGTTGGAGAAAAACAATAGAGATAGAGTATAAGGACGAGTGCCAATATATGTCTGTCTATATGTCTCTTTACTGGCATTTAGAAACTTCTTTAAATCTTTAACACATCACCTATTGGCTGGTGGTACCTTGCAAAGGGAAGTATTTGCACACAAACTGCTGATCTGCATTTGTGCCAAATTATGTAAAAAAAAAAATAGGCATTTACAATTGCAATTAAATATACAGCATGTAGAAATAAAATGAAAAAGGTGAACAAGTAAAATCTGTAAATATCACCTTGTTCTACAAGATTAATTTCACAGGGTTGGATGTGAGAGCTGCCTTCTTCGGATTGAGCTATAGACCCTAAAAAACACACATTAGTTTTAACAGGTGTGCAGAAACCTGACAAACACAGATCAATATCTGCTGTTTGACTCTGACCACTGGAAGCCAAATTGGCTGCCAAGAAAAGTCAGTATCATTGCCTTGAAAATGAATGGAAGCATAGACAAAAGAAGACACCTGTTGACATCCTAACCTCATTAATTCAGTTGGGAGATGTGGAAAGCATAGCCCAAAGATAATATTGATACCAAGGTCATGGGTTCTTTTTAAATCTTTCATTGTATGTGTGCTGTGTTTTTAGCCCAATATAGTGAGGAGTGCTCTGACCTTTCAAAACTCCAGTGCAGTACAGTAGTGACACAGTTAACCTGTATCAATATTGACCTCATTGTTGTCATAACCTCTAAACAGAAGCATTGGCCTTACCAATTGAACATCTCTACAGTTTCACAGTAACTTGTTCAAACATTACTTGACATCTGTCCCTCTCTCATGATTTTCAGCTTGGGGAAAACAGATGAAAAAACTACACAAAGCTTAAAGATCTAGATTTTTAACAGCAGGTTTGTTTGTTATATTGGGTTTTGCTTCAACTAACTCTCGCTGAATAGGGCTGCTATAGTTCTCCT